AGTTTCTGTAGAGTTAGTGAAGGAAAGGACTTAAATCAGGTAACCTTCAATTTCTCTTATACCATATTGGTATATAAGTTTAACAATCTCTTTATCACAGAAATTCTGACTGAAATTGTCTAATTGTTATACTGTCCTGGGATAGACAATAAACTACATACAACAGCAAGGCCTCTGATCAGGAGGTTTTGAAAAGCATTAAACGACCTCTTAATTGCTGATGTTCCCAGGTTGACCCTGACCCGGTGTGGTAGCACCTGTTAGGGTCCCAGCTATAGGCAAATAGTTAACCCCCAAACTGAGGTCAAAATGTGTAAAAATATGTTTTATTACCAGCAATGAATTTTTGAAGAAAAAATTATTACCAGCAGTACATTTTTGAAAAAACACATTACCAGCAATAAAAATCTTGTCAGCATTAAATAACCCATTAGGGTTGATATGCCATAGACCAAACCAAACCAGGCCAATTGAATTAGTATGAATCATATGTGATGCTCAAATTGGAGTGATAGGACAATCTTCAACAAAAATTGGCATGGATGTCAAGCCACCTGATATTCCTATACCTACCATTAGTTACTAGTATTATTAGTACTACAAATATTATATTTAGTGGTTACACATGTTTGAATAGATGTCACTGTTTGTATTTTTTAAACAGTGAATTTGCAGTTTCAAGCCTGGTCAGTACCTAGATAGGTGACCAATTAGGAATACCAGATACTCTAAGCTTGGATGTTTCAGTGGTGTAATGGATAATGGCCACATCACATTGAAATGCCTATTCTCATACGATCACCAAAGTTAAGCAATGATGAGCCTGGTCAGTACCTAGATAGGTGACCAGTTAGGAATACCAGATGCTCTAAGCTTGGATGTGTGGGTGTTGTAATGGATAATGGCTCAAAAGCGAAAATCAGAGAGCTGATTTCCAATTAAATATTTTTTTAATCAGTTTATCCTCAAGAAAGGCAGTAAAGCCACTAAAACACAAAGGGTTATTGGATGTGGGAGAATTAGGAACAGGAACATTATTAATGAGCAAGAAGAAAAGAGAGTAACCAGGAGGACAGTAGATTGTGCATTCTACTTTTTGGAGATTAAAGAGGTTCATTATATTCGCTTACATATTAATACTGTTGGGAATGGTATGAATCTGTCTCCTCTAAATCCCCCCACCCCCAACCAGCAATCTGTTAATTAGTAAGACTTGTATCACTAGGCACAGTGGAGTAATGGATAGTGGCTCAGATTGATGAATCAGAGAGCCAAGTTCAAATTCCAATCAAATCCATTACATTCACTTATGTGATATTACCCTTGGGAAAGGTATAAGTCCTCTTCTTCCCTCCCAGCTATGGGTAAATTGCAAGACAGATCAGGTTCTATAGCCTTGGAAGGCAATTGGTCTACCACAGAAAGAAATGGCAAACTACTGCAGGAAAAAAAACTCTACCTCATCAATCATGTATCAAAAGATACATGATCATCTAAGCATGCATCAAGTCCTGGGTATTATGATAAACTACATCCAACAGCAAGGCCTCTGATCAGGAGGTTTTGAGGAGCGTGGAACTACCTCTTAATTGCTGGTGTTCCCAGGTCCACTCTGACCTGGGGTGGTAGCACCTGTTAGGGCCCCAACCAGATGCAAATAGTTAACCCCCAAACTGGGTTTAAAATCCTTCAATACATTTTTTGAGGAAAAATTATTACCAGCAATACATTTTTGTAAATAATTATGACCATTATTTTGTAAATAATTACCAGCAATACATTTTTGAAGAAAAATAATATTACCAGCAATACATTTTAAAAAAAATATTACCAACAATACAAAATTTTGTTGGCATTCAACCCATTGAGGTTGATATGCCGTAAAACAAACTAAACCAAGCCTAAGCATGTATGATGCATGGTACATAACTGACTAACTGTATCAGTAAACCATTATTATCACAAAAAAATTCTTACAATCTAAAAATATTTTCTGGCTTTAAATAACCTGCAAAAGGTTGACAAGCCATAAAAAACAAAAAATCATTCAAACAATTATAAACAGTAAATTTCATGCCTTCCTGCCTAGATATTGAGAGTCATACCAAAGAAAATTAAACTGTAGTAGTAGAGTAAGTAAGAGAATAGTATTAACACTACTACTAGTTGTAGTATAGTCAACTACTTGAAGATTAAATTTACTATGAAAACAAAAAGTAAAATAAATATTTTTGATTTAACATTAATTATTTCTTATGTTTTTAATCTTCTTTTCAGAGGTCAAACTGCATTACACAAAGCTGCCTGCTACCAATGTCGGACAATCTGTTATCTGCTGGTGGAAGCGGGAGCTTCATTGACGCAAACAGACTTTCAGGTGAAAATCTTCAATCATACACTTTGCCATTTTGACCAGCATGCACACGAACTTAAATAAATAACCCTCTTAAAACTTAACTATGCTGCTTTCACAATATGTAAGCCCCAACGGGATATACCCAACTGATTAATTTTTGCTGAAGCCCATTTTAATTTACCATGACATATAACGCACATTAATACCACCAATCAGTTAAGATCAAAAGCTATGTGTCGCATCAGGGCATTTTATTATCATTATATTTATTTTTTATTTACATTATGTACACTATTTACATTATTCAGACTATTTTTATTAAGTTATAATTTACTGACAACCTTACCATCCTTATTTTTAGAGTTGGGAGTAAAAATAAAATTCTATCAAAAGCTGTGTCACATCAGGGCATTTTATTATCATTATATTTATTTTTTATTTACATTATGTACACTATTTACATTATTCAGACTATTTTTATTAAGTTATAATTTACTGACAACCTTACCATCCTTATTTTTAGAGTTGGAAGTAAAATTCTATCAAATTCTATTAAATTTTCCATCAAATTCAAATTATATATCAAATTCTATCCAATCTGTCAAATTATATCAAAGATTTTGTTTCATCTAAAATTTTTAATGGCTGAAAACAAGTTGAGTAAAACTTTAAATAATGTTTGTGAAACAATTCATATCTAAAATGATTCGTTTTCTTCTTCCTTTAAAGTCAAAATACAAAAGACTTAATTTTCTCCAATTTCTTTAAACTTTTTCTTTTATTTCTTTCCAAATTTCTTAAATCGTTTTCATTTGCATATATTAACAAACTTTGTAAACAGCTTTTTCAATTTTTCATATTAAACGACTTTAATAGCCTTCTGCATGAACGTTTATTTTCAGTCAAAAAAGTGTTTGATTTGGTGATTTTATCTGTGTATTTAATTGTGGATTGAGAATATTTTTTATTGGTTTTGTTTTCGTTAAATGGAATTATTTTTTAAAGTGTATGATTAGATTTTACTTTATTTGATGATGCTTTTAAATGGTTTGAGTTGTTTAAATCAAAAGTAATTTATTTTATTTGAACTTCTCTTATCTTTCCAGGGACAGAGCCCAAGGCAACAAGCTCTGCTTGCTGATGACGTAGAACTAGCAAATTATTTAAAAAGTTAGTATATCAATTTTTTCTTTTTTTTTTGTTTTTTACTTTTTTTATTTTGATTCCCTTGAAATGTGGGGGAGGTATTTTTTTTTTTACAAAATATAGTGTTTGCTAAAAAAGTCCATTCTGTATTTTATTATTAAATAGCATTTAGTTTTAAATAACTTAATTCAAAAAAGATTTTTGTTTTTATTAGATGTCACTAGAGATGTTTATGTTAACTTATTTTTCAAAAGATCACTTTTGCATTGATTGTGATAGCTTTTTTATGAATGTATTTTTATTAGATAAACCAAGAAATTCTGTTTTGATTAGATGGCAAAAGGAGTGTTTAGTGTTAAATAATTTCCTTCAAAAAAGATCACATTTTGGATTTTTTCATTCTGAATGTTTTTTTATTAGATAAACCAAGAAATTCTGTTTGTGATTAGATGGCATTAGGAGTATTTAGTGTTAATAATTTCCTTCAAAAAGATCACATTAGATTGGATTGTAAATAGCTTTCATCTCTGAATGTATTTTATTAGATAAACCAAGAAATTTGTTTTGATTAGATGGCATTAGTGTTAATTTAATTCAAAAAAAAAATCACTTCAGAATATTTCTTATATCAGTGTTTTAAAATATTTTCTCAGTATTGGCATATATTTTTCATCGAATTTGATTCACATAATATTTTAACATTCAATAAAAAATGGAACACAAACATACAAAAAAATTGTCCAGTTTATGGAGAAGGTACCGTATATTATCAAATTTATCTTCTTTTTTTGTTTTTACTTTACTTTTTTATTTTGATCTCCCTTGAAATGTGGGGGAGGTATTTTTTTTTTTTTTTTTTTTACAAAATATAGTGTTTGCCAAAAGTCCATTCTGTATTTTATTATTAAATAGCATTTAGTTTTAAATAACTTAATTCAAAAAAGATTTTGTTTCTTATTAGATGTCACTAGGAGTGTTTAGTGTTAACTTATTTCTTTCAAAAAGATCACTTTGCATTGGATTGTGATAGCTTTCATTTATGAATGTATTTTTATTAGATAAACCAAGAAATTCTGTTTGTGATTAGATGGCATTAGGAGTGTTTAGTGTTAAATAATTTCCTTCAAAAAGATCACATTAGATTGGATTGTAACAGCTTTCATCTCTGAATGTATTTTTATTAGATAAACCAAGAAATTCTGTTTGTGATTAGATGGCATTAGGAGTGTTTAGTGTTAATAATTTCCTTCAAAAAGATCACATTAGATTGGATTGTAACAGCTTTCATCTCTGAATGTATTTTTATTAGATAAACCAAGAAATTCTGTTTGTGATTAGATGGCATTAGGAGTGTTAATTTAATTCAAAAAAATCACTTCAGAATATTGAGACAGCTCTTATATCAGTGTAAGAGTTTAAAATATTTTCTCAGTATTGGCATATATTTGTTCATCGAATCTGATGCTAAAGATCACATAATATTTGCAACATTTTCAGCATAAAAAATGGAACACAAACATACAAAAAAATTGTCCAGTTTATGGAGAAGGTACCGTATATTATCAAACAATTCAAAAGTGGAAATTTCCTACTTAGTGATATGTCACACTCAGAAAAATTGTGATTAATGGCATGTAAATCCAAACATGAGAATATTTTTTCTGTTGGAAGTTTTGGAATGAGGAATTATCATTATTTACATTATTTGTATTCAGACTATTGTCCTCATCTTTGTTGTTATTATTACAACCATTTCAGCCATTGTGCCCTTCTACCTTTATCAGGTGCTTATTTATCTAGGTAAACTTCAGGAACAAAGTAAACCCTTTATTTAATCTCTGAGGACAGATTGTTCTCAGTCCATTGTTCATGTTTTGTGATATCTTTTGTTCTTACTCAGTTCCACTGAGACTAAATATGTTCTCCCCTGGCATATGGATTAAAGATTCAGTTACTGTTAGCAAATTCTCAAGACATAGAAAGTGTAAAAAGAAGAATCCAGCCCCATAAATTAAATAAAGGGTTCAGTTTAAAGTTTTCTGAATGTTACCAGGATTAATAGACATCTGAAAAAGGCCAGAGGTTCCAGTTCAAAATTCTCTGAATATTACCAAGATCAACAGACATCTCAAGATGGCCAGAAATATCAGTTCAAACTTCTCTGAATGTTACCAAAAACAATAGACACCTGAAAAAAGCCAGAGGTTTCAGTTCAAAACTCTCTGAATGTCACCTGGATCAACAGACACCTGAAGGCCAGAGAGTTCAGTTTATAATTCTCTGAGTGTTACCAGGATCACCTGAAGAAGACCAGAGGTTTCAGTTCAAAATTCTCTGAATATTACTCATTAATATTATTAATTACGAGAGGAAAGTCAAAAATTATTCGCACTAATACTCTGAAAATGTGGATAATTCTTGACTTACCCTTGTATATTATTATTATTTATTATGTTAAATTATGTTATATTATAAATATTTATTTAATCATTAATACTTGTTAATATCATTATATTATATTAATATTATTTGCTATATTTTAATAATACATATTAATATTATAAATATTTATTCAATCATTATTAATACTTGTTAATATTATTATATTAATATTATTTGCTATATTATAATAATACACATTGATATTATAAATATTTATTTAATCATTATTAATACTTGTTAATATTATTATATTAATATTATTTGCTATATTATAATAATACACATTAATATTATAAATATTTATTTAATCATTATTAATACTTGTTAATATCATTATATTATATTAATATTATTTGCTATATTTTAATAATACACATTAATATTATAAATATTTATTTAATCATTATTAATACTTGTTAATATCATTATATTATATTAATATTATTTGCTATATTTTAATAATACACATTAATATTATAAATATTTATTTAATCATTATTAATACTTGTTGATATTATTATATTAATATTATTTGCTATATTATAATAATACACATTAATATTATTAATATTTATTTAATCATTATTAATACTTGTTAATATTATTTATTATATCATAATATTATTAACCATAATTTCTCGAAAATAATATGCATTTTTTTACTGTAAATTACAGGTGATAGTTGGGATGTGTATTGTAAATAGGTTTAAACAAAAATATTTTTTTCGTTATTGATTTATAATAATAAATACGTACTTGTTCTAAAATAAGAAAGATATTATCCCAATTTTCATTTTAAATCCAACAATAATAATTGTAACATTTTTTGCCAATAAATTTGTTTATCAGTAGCCACATTTTTTATTTGGCGAAAAAATAAAAAATCTATAAAAAGGCCAATTTTGGAAAAAAGAGGATACCAAATTAACAATTTCTTGAAATTTTAATTTTCATCATCATCATCATCACCACTTTCTATTATAGAATCAATATCTAAATTGTCATTAAACAAATTATCATTCACAATATTATCTTCGTCTTGTTCATTCTCTTGACAAAGGATGCCATCTTCAGAGCCATCCATGGCTGTCGTAAGACAACACTTCTTGTTATATTTATCAGAAAAACTGCATGGTAATTTTCAACATTATTTTAGCTGTTTAGTTTCAAATTTATTCTTAATGTTAAGGTCAACAAAATGTCTTCATAATTATTTTTTTGTTTTTTGTTGACAAAATTTATTTCTTAATTTTTGGATCATTTGTTGGGATGCGTATTATTTTTAAGAAATTACAGTACTATATTAATATTTAATTTATCATTATTAATAAGCACTTAAAGGCTACTAAAGGAAGTTCAACTTGATTCCAGATTATATCCTATTGATACAGTATATATAATTATTTACAAATACATAAGGGAGACTACTCTGTAATTAGCCAAACTCCAACATTTAAAATTTCAAGTTAACATCTTATAATCCCTAACCATCAGAAGTTAAGTGTTAAATGATTTTTGAACATCTGTTTTTTATATATTTAATAATTTTCCCCCAG